TTTTGAACAAAAGTATGCAACAAGTTGTTGAAGCTTCTAAAATCATCAATACAACATGAATATGAAACTATAACATCCTCTAACTCCATTTGAGATGAAAATCTCAAATCGCCACCGAAAGAAAAGTGCTCCAAATCTGACGATACTCCTAGGTTATGTCGGGGACAACACGGTGAACATTAAACTCCAAAGAGGACATACCAAAATCCAAACTTGACCTCAAACCCGAACTCAAAAAATGGCCAAAACAGATTCTAATAAGGGGGAAAGATGTATGTAGTCAAGACAAGCATAAAACATGAAGACACTACGACTTTTTAACAAAGGGAAGAAGGTTTAATTGAGAGAAGAAGGGTGGCAGCCCCCTTGGGCTGCCATGGCAGCTTTTGGTCGTGCATGAAGAGAGGGAAAGATCACTTTTTAATTTTATAACCCCTTATTTATAGGAAAACCCTAAAAGTGCCCCGAAAGGGCTCCGCCGGGTCCGAAAAAGTGAAATTTGAGCAGAAACGCTTATACGGCAAAACTCCCTGAACAAAAAAGAACCAAAATGAGAAAATATGAATAACGGAAGAAACGGCATCGAAAACCAAGTCCCAAGCAGAGAGATATGCCCCAAACAAGTTCGGAGGCAACTAGGGCCAAAAACCCTAAAACTGGGGAAAAACGACCAGAAGACAATTCTAGGAGTACACGACTTGACGAAAAGTGAAAATGAATCCAATACAAGGATCCAGGCTCAAAACGAGTCATTTTTGTTATAACTTTCATTAATTGCACAATGGCCCTTCCAAAAAGTGCAAACTGCATTAATGACCCAGAATGAAAATATCTTTCAAAAATATTTTCTTAAAAACCCTTAAAATAAAATATCTTCAAAATATATTTATGAAAAACACCACAAGAAAAGAAAAAGATTCTGAAAAGCTATGCATCTATGCCCCTATGGACAACGGAAGCAACCAGAGTACTTTACTGCAAAAGTAATGATACGTATTTCGTGAAAACCACTTAGAATGAAGATACGTGAAGTTAAAAACCAACTCTGAGCACAAAAAAGTGAGGTTGTGCCAAAAAGTGACAAACGGGGAAAAGAAAAAATAGGGAAAAGGACGAAAAGTGAATAGTGTCAAAAAATGAAAAATGTGGAAATGACTCGGTCTTTAAAGGAAGTTGTCAATACAAAGGAAAGAGTCCTAGAAATGATTTTAGAGCACTCGAGATGACACTAAGTGATGAAAAACCAAACACAGAATAGAAAAGACAACGGAAAAAATTTATCCGCAAAATTTGAGGAAAAAGGAAAGGAAGAAAATGACCGGGTCATTACAACTTGTACTTTATTTTTGCTTTGTGGTTTGATTTTAGTTTGATTTTGTAAAATTAAAATAAGTAAAAATTGGATAAAAGAGCAAATTATATCTATTCACCATCCTCTAGGTTATCTATTCATATTATATTCCACAACCATTCCGCTGCGCACCAACTCTCAACATAAGTTAGGATCTGCCCACTAATCATTGGAAATTAAGCTATCAACTAAGACATGGTTGTCTAGTTAAAGAATTTCCACCTCAGTGAGCCCCAATTGACATACTATTGGACTCTATGGCAACTAGTAATCGAACCACAAGCTTGTTGATGTGCTATCCCCTACCCTATGCTTGAACAGATCTTTTGCCATGTCTCTCAATCTAAGAAGTTTCCTCCAAAAACTAGAGCTTAATGCAGTAGCCTTGACTACCCAAAAACTCTTAGCTTTGATAAGATAATCATAAAACCAAGCAACCCAAAGGCTGTATTTCTTCAAACATAACTTCCAAATTTGCCTCAAGTTTGCAATAATGTTGGACATCTCCAAATCAGGAAATCGTAGCCCTCCATGCACTTTTGGTCTGCAAACAACACGCCAAGCAACCTTGGCTCCCTTCTTCTTCATATACATTCCAAACCAGAAAAAGCTTCTTATGATCAGATTAATTTGGTCTATAACCTTCTTTAGCAACACAAATGTTTGAGACCAATAAGACTGGATAGAGCACAACATAGACTTAATGAGAACAGGCCTCCCTACATATGAAAGAAACCTTGAGGTCTAATATCTAATCCTTGCTGTTATTTTCCCAACAAGTGTTTGACAATCCCTTGCCTTGATTGAGGATGAAGACAGAGGCATTCCTAAGTATGTAACGTGCAAATTTCCTTCTTCAATTTGAAGGCGATTAAGAATAACAGCTTTAATAGTTGGATTAACCCCTGCGAAGAACACTTTGCTCTTTGATTTGTTAATTTAGAGCCTAGAGGATGAGAAGAAACTGTATAGGGCATCCAACAAAACCTGAATTGAAGGTAAATTGGTATGGGAGAATATCATAATATCATCTGCAAAAGTTAGATGGGTAATTGATAGTTTTTTGCAACTCCAATGAAATTTAAAACCAGGGTTACATCTAATCTGGTTGCTAATAGTTAAGGACAAAACCTCCATGGGAATAACAAACAGTAAAGGTGAGATTGGGTCACCCTACCTGAGACCTCTTTCCCTTTGAAGAGTCCAAAAATTTCTCCATTAAGAGAGATGGAATAAAAAGGTGTGGTTATACACTGAGTTATCCAGTGAACAAAAGAATCAGGAAATCCAAACAATGTAAGAGAATCAAGGATAAACTGCCAATGCACAGAATTAAATGCTTTCATTATATCAATCTTAATAGCACAGTTTGGTGGATGATTGGATTTATGATATCCATTCAAAAGTTCATGGGCAAGAACAATATTTTCAGAAATATGCCTACCCCTCGTAAAGGCATTCTATGTAGGGCTTATAAGTGTTGGGAGTGTAGGGGCAAGCTTATTAGCAATGAACTTTAATTGATATTGTTCTGTAAATTAAGTTGTAACAGGATATATGTCTGAAGTCATGACTGAATAGGATGATGACATATGTCCTTTCTTGATAAGGACATAATTATAACTGAGCCGAGTTGGTTATATTGTAATAATTATCGATAAAAAATAATTATTCTAAATATATTTTATTAAGAATAATTATATTTTTGGCTAATTAAATAATTTAAGTTGACCAAATTTGGGCTAATTAAATAATTTTATTAAATATGAGAACCATATTTGATGAGTCAATTTATTTAGACAAAAGCCCATGAAATTTTAATGTCTACAATAATTAAGTTTTGGCTCGTTTGTTTCAATGTAAAATATTTTATTCGGGAAATATTTTTCATTTTCAGGTAAAATATTTTCTTTATTTTTACTTTTCGATGTTTGATAAGAGTCTTAGTCGATGTTGAGGTCGAGTCCATCGGGTGAGACGTATAAAATAACTTATCGGAAATTGATGGGTAAATTAATTTTGTTAGGTTTTAATATTTAAAAATATATATATATATATATTTTACAACAATCAAACATCAAAAGGTAAAATAATTATTTTTTAAAAAATATTTTACATCCAAATAACAACTCATGAAAAATGTAATACGCACTATAAACTGAGTAGAGGGAAGGGGTATTGAATAACACAATACAAGGATGTTCAATCCAATATGACGTTAAAATGAATAGTAGTCTTATTTAAATTTAGAAATAATTTTATGCTCCGTTTGGTTAGAGGAATGAAAAAATAGATAGAAGGGTCAGGAGAAGGGATGGATGAGGTATCCATAGAGAAGGGAATGTGTCTCTCTCACTTTTTATTTGGTTGAATGGAAAGGATAGTAGAAATGATGAATGCATAGGGTAACACATTTTTTTTATTTGGTTGGAAGGAAGAGAAAGAGAATTTTTATATTTTTTTTTACTAATATACCCTCATTAATTATTTAAAATTAAAAAAATTCTCTATCTATCCCAAATTTTTAGAAAGTTTAGAAATGAAAATTTCATATTTGTGTTAGTTAGTACTTCTTTCTTTCTCCTCTTCCTCCTAATTTTGGACGAATAAAAAAATACAAAGAAATGAGGGCTTCATCCCTCCTTGTTTCCTTCCTCTTTTCTCTTCCCTTTAACCAAATACAAAAAAGTTAGTCTATCTCTTCTCTCATCCATCCCTTCTTGATCCTTTCTTCGAACCAAACATATTATTAATCTAAACCCAAAATAGCAATATCAATAAAGTTGGTCAAAGAACTAGGTTTAGCTCGATCCATTGGGGGTAAATATCAATAGGCCCACCTAAATTGTAACTAGACCCTAATTAACCACTCCTTGTAAATGGGTCCAGTCCACAATCATTTATGAGTAAATTATTTTTGTTAAATTTTTTTAAAAAAATTCTTCATAAATATTTTTTAACAACCAAACATCAAAAAATAAAAAATAAAATATTTTTTTAAAAATATTTTATATCCAAACAAATAGCACATAAAAAAATGTAATATCACATTAAAATTAATGAATAGTAGTCTTATTTAAATCCAGAAATATTTTTAATCTAAACTCAAAATAGCAATATCAGTAAAATCAGTCAAAGAACAGGCAAAAATCCTCTCCTGTTCCTGTTCTTGTTCCCTCCCATTCGGATGTGTGGCCCAGATTGGGCCACGTCAATTAAAAAAAAACCAATAACAAAAGTTTAACTGTGTATGAGAGAATAGTGTATATATATATTTCATGTATTTTCTAAAATACTTCGTAATTATCCGAATAAAGAATTTTATCAAAATATCCTTATTTTATATTTCAAAAAGTCTAAAATGCCCTTATCATTTTCATTCCCAAATATATTTCCATAAATACAATTTTAACTTTTTTACTATTTTACTGCTGCTACGATGAAAATCGGCCAGAACAAGAGCACGGTTCCAATGGAGAGGACTTTGGTCCGTTGAGGTAAAGATCAATTGGGCCCACATAAATTGCAACTAGACCATAATTCACCACTCTTTGGAAATGGGTCCACAATTGTCACGACTCACTTACACGCGATCAAATTCATAGATGCATAATGGAGTTCACTCACTCAGCTACGCAACTCTCTACTAAGCAACCAAAAAACTCTCTCTCTCTCTCTCTCTCTCTCTCTCTCATTTGTAGAATTGATATTATATATATATATATATATATATATATATATATATATATATATATTGTATATATAAATCCTGTGACACTAACCGTTCAAATTCTTCCTACCATCCCATAAGTCTCTTTCTCTCTTTCTTTCTAGTTTAATTTTCTCTCTCTAGGATCAGAGGAAACAAACATGCCCACTACTCAAGCTATTTCTCTCTCCTCTCTCTTGGGTTTCTTCCTCACCATCTCAATTCTCGTACACCCATCAAATTCCGCCATAGACTCTTTCGTGTACGGTGGGTGCTCTCAGCTAAAATACGCCCACGGCACACCGTACGAGTCCAACGTAAACTCCATACTCGCCTCCCTGGTCAACTCAGCCTCCACCTCCAACTACAACAGCTTCAAAATCTCTGTCCCTGGCTCGAGCCAAAACGATATCGTTTACGGCCTTTTCCAATGTAGAGGAGATTTGACGAACTCGGACTGCAGAGAGTGCGTGGCCCACTCAGTGAGTCAAATAGGCATCGTTTGTCCTGACTCAACCGGTGGCGCGTTGCAGCTAGATGGGTGCTTGGTGAAGTACGATAACACCCCGTTTTTGGGGGCGGAGGACAAGACTGTGGTGATGAAGAAATGTGGGCCGTCGATCGGGTTGGACTCTTCGGCGAGGAGTGATGCTTTGCTGGCCTATCTGACGGCTGGGGGTCAGTTCTTCCGAGTTGGTGGGTCCGGGAATGCCCAGGGTATGGCGCAGTGCGTACAGGATCTGAGTCTGAGCGAGTGCCAGGATTGTCTGACGGAGGCGATCGGACGACTGAGAAACGAGTGTGGGTCCTCAGCTTGGGGTGATATGTTCTTGGCCAAGTGCTACGTGCGTTACTCGGAGCGTGGCGATTACTCGAAGAGCGGTAAGCTGTTCCACCACCGTGGTTGGTGGTTCGTGACTTCTGGTTTTGTGTTGGTTTGGACTTTATTTGTGGAAATTTAGTGAAATTCACCTTTAAAAAAAAAAAAAACCTGAATTATTATGAATTTTACCTTTTAATCCCTGTAAATGTAAATTAACTGGTTTAAATTATTACTAGCTTGCATGGTGATTTGGTAAATTTCAAGTATTGAAGAAGGTTTTGCAAATTCCCTTACTTTAGATTGGATCCTTTTTGTGTGTTAAACCACATAGGGTGGATGAGTATACTTTGATTAGTACTATTTCATTTCTAGTATGCTAATAATGTATTGAAATGACTGAATTACCCTTTGATAGGCTTCACTCTCCCATGGTGTGATCAAATTAAGAGTAGAATGGCTTAATTACAATTTGGAAAATGATATGGTGAGTGATATAAATGGGTCGTGAATCCTACGGTGACATTTAAAAATTTTTGGACGCTGTATCACAAGTGCTTACAATTTTATTATTTGTTGATGGATCAGTTGATTTTTTATCATATAAATTTTTTTATTACAACATATTATTAGTTTCATGCAATAAATCTGTATCAAATTCTATATATTTCTAGTGCTACACATGAGGAATATTCATTTTGTGGCTATAATTTAAAGAAAAAGCCATTACAGAAAATATTGACACTCATATTGGAGGTAACATATTTGAATTTTGAAACTTGCTCATACAAAAACTTAAAAGCTTGACTATTTGATAGTTGAATACATTTTTCCATGTCAAAGCATATATTTTAAGCTTTTCCCCTTTAAAGTACTCTAGTTCTTCTTTTTGCTTGTCACTAAGACAAACAGTGCACTACTTTGAATTAATGGCTCTTTTTGGAACAAAGAATCTGATGCTAAATGGATGTTGATATTCTCAAAAGATTTTTTGTTTTATATATCAAACAATTTTGTTTTCTGTTTATTAGTTCAAATTTAATTTGTTTATTCAACATGTAATGTTTTTACACTGGAAAATATTTTCATACAAAACTTTTACATGGAAAAAAATAAATTTCCTTCTTACCTTTTTTTTTTTTTTTTGTTGGTATTTGGTTGAAATTTTGAAAATCAATTACTAATTCTCTTTATTATTATTATTATTATTATTTTTTCATAGTTGGTACTCACACACACATGCCTCCTTGGAGGCTCACCCTTAACTTTCCTTTGGAAAGTAAGGACCTGATACCGCTAGGCAACTGGCCTGTTAGTTAATTCTCTTAAAATGCAGTGCTATAATTTCATAAGCTTGTATATGTTGGAGGATATAGACATTTTACATTGATTAGCATATAAGTAGGTTAATTGCTATATAATTAAGCTTGCATACAAGTGAATATATGTAAATATATAAGTAAATGTAAATTTATATGAATTTTTTTCCCCAAAGGTAAATGCATATGAAATTATATGCAAGTGTAATATATATATACACATACATACAAAGCAAAAACTAATTGTTGAAATCATTGAAGGCAATCAATGCTATGATTATGGATGAAAATGGCAATGCGTTTTCTACAACAATTGAGAAAAACAAAAGCATGCATGAAAATTCATGGAAAGAATTAATGTTAAGCATAATCAGATCATATATCTTCATAAAATTACAGAAACTATGAGATGAAGGAAATCTTTTGTATAATTCGATTAGTAATCTAATCTTCGACGATTCCAATTGTAGATGATAACGATACAGAGAAGACTCTCGCTATCATTATCGGACTCATAGCCGGTGTTTCATTGATCATTGTTTTCCTTTCTTTCTTGAGAAAAATATTTGAAAAGAAAGGTACGTACAACTATTAATTCTCTTAAATTTCTTTTACGTCTCGTGTTTAATACTTTATATACATCATCAAAAGCTGAAAATACTATTCAAATTTGTTTTTGTTTCTCTACATTGCAGGTGGTAAATAAATTACAATTTGTGCATATCCAGAAAGTGATCACTTTCTTTTGCTTTTGGTGCTCTTTTGCTTTACTTCCATATGCTTTTTCTCTCTCTATGCATTATTGAAGCTAGTTTTCTTTCCCTCCAAAGAAGAAAAGGGAAGATATTGATGCGAATGGAATTGAACAGGTGCCTTGAAACAAGTGAAAAGAAAGATGAAATAACAAGTGAAGCCCACACTTCTCACACACCACTTGACAAAAATTAGGTTTCATGCATTGATGTGTATAAAATAACAACACTTCTGTGGAAGTGCTTTTGTTTAGCTGCAAATTTGATTGTATTACTTTTAGGAATGGATTTTTGATTGCTAAACCTTCATTTGATCTAAAAGTTAGGCCCTACCCATACTTGAATGTTATTGAATTTCATTTTAATCTTGTTGTATATTAGTTTCATTTTAGGGATGGATTCGACTTGGCTGTTGTTGTTAAATGGTTTCGATATTGTTTGTGTGTGTGTGTGTGTGTATATATATTTTGAACCTGTACAGGCCGGTGGTCTAGGGGATAAGAGGTCTTCTGGGGCGAATCGTAGTTGATAAATGATTTTTTGGACGAATCGAAAACTCGTACGATTCTCACTGTGAAATTTGCAAACAATCCAAGAGTTGGTGAAAATAGTGATCTTCTTGGAATTGAACAGGTGACTCGAAACAAGTGAACTTCTAACACCCACTTAACACAAATTAGCTTTCATTCGTTGATATATGTATAAAATGAAAACACTTCTGTGAAAGTGCTTTTGTTTAGCTGCAAATTTAGTTTGTATTACTTTTAGGAATGGACTTTTGATTGCAAAACCTTCATTTCAGAATGTTATTGAATTTCATTAATTTCAATCTTCTTGTATATTAATTTCATTTTAGTGCTGGATTCCACTTGGCTATTGTTGTTAAATGGTTTTGATATTGTTTGTATATGTGATTTCTTTTATTTTAAAATTGTACGTACAAGTGATCTAGTGAATAAGAGGTCTCTTGGGATGAATCAAAATTGATAAAGAATTTCATGGTGATGGATGTATAATTTAAATACCCCGCGGATAGGGGAAGGTTGTTGCGATAAGAATTAAGCCTACAGATTATAAGCCCTATAGAGAAGGGGGGCTAATCGACGTTTAAAGGTATGCAATAGATCTCAACTCAATTTCTTGATTTCTCCAGAGAGATTACTTCAAACACTGATTTGTTCGTCGGAGCCTACTCCACCGATAACACACCGGTGCCTGTAGGATTACCTTTTCTTCTCTTTGTTCAGGAAGTCAGATCGAATTCGGTAGTGCAGAATCCATCATCAACACATGGGAAGAACAAAAATCCGAACATCCTAAATTTGATTCAATCTGAAATTTATAAACCATTCAAGGATTAGTGAAAATAGTGATCTTTATGGAATTGAACAGGTAACTTGAGTTTCTAGCCCCCATTTAACAAAAAAACAGTTTTCATTCATTGATGTGCGTAGAATGACAACACTTCTGTGAAAGTGTTTTAGTGGCAAATTTAGTTGTATTACTTTTAGGGAAGGCCTTTTTTTTGCTAAACCTTCATCTCATCTAAAAGTTAGGCCCTACACACTAGAATGCTCTTTAATTTATTTTCAATCTTCTTGTATATTAATTTGATTTTAGTGCAGGATTCGTCTTGGCTGTTGTTGTTAAATTATGCTTTGTGTATGAATTATTTGGAAAAATTTTAAATACCACATAGTTAACTTACTTCTATTATGTAATATTCAATGAAAATTTTCCACTTTCCTTGATAATAGGAAATAAAAATTTACTATTGTCCACCTTCAGACCAAATTCTGAGTAATTCCAGAATATCCCGTACTTATTTCACACCATATTGTTTTATGTAAGACTTGAATCCTTTACAAACATGGACTTCTCCTATGATTTGAGAGGGACCTGCCCTGTGGTTTGAGAAATTATACGGCGGACCTTCCTTAAAAAAGAAACGTTGTTATACAAACTTATTAATAACCAATTTTGTTGATGTCATGTATTCCATAATTTGAAATTCTCATATTACCTTTCATTCGGCAAGAAATTCTCCAGCTAACCACCACCGCCTCTCCGGCTGTTTTCTCTCACATATTCCTTTCTTTCTCTATTTTCAATGCAAGTTTCCTCTCTGATTGACATACTTGTACAATTATAATCCAGGAAACTTTGAAAATTTTGAGATTAGCATATATATACACACTAATATAAATACACCTATATGCAATCCATTTCTTTGAACAAATCATATACGGAATCTGTTTTGAAGCACCCAAATTTGAACCTACCAAACCAACACCACCGTGGATTATATATGGAATCACTACGCAAATTTGATCATACCAAAATCTGATCTACCAAAATCTAATATGCATGTACAGATGGGTATTTTTGTCATTTATCATAGTAATTTGAGGGTATTTTATTAAATTAGGCATGTTCGTTTGTGCATTTGATTGTCTTTCACTACGAAGAGAAATCTATGTAAGTTAGTTTCATTTTTAAGAGAAATTTGAGTAATTTCTGAAACCATAGAAAAGGTCCCAGTGATTATGGCAAATTATAGGGAAGGTTCGTGTAATTAAACCACTATAAAATTACATATAAATTTTGTAAAAATCTAAAAAATGACCGCATTTATTTTTTTATTTTGTAATATCTTAAAAATACTCCCACTTAATTTCTAATGATAGATACTCACCCTATATTGTTGTTGTTTAAGACTGCCTTCTTTCAGAGAGTAATTTTCTGGTCCGTCAGTCACCGTTTCATCACTTTTTGAAGATGAGATTTCATACTCCTAGACCTTTTTTCTGGTGATAATTAAACTCAAAATTATTTAGATATTACCACCACAAATAGTCTGTAATTAGTGTGTGTGAATCATATATATATATGCATGGGCCATGACATGAAAACTACCAAGTGATGTTAGACCAAGATTTGCAATAGACAATTAAGTTTTTGAGTAATTTTAGGTTTAGCAAGTTATTACTTATTATCATAATAGTGATTGGGAGACAATATTCCATCTGCTTTTTAATTAGTTGCATTTTAAATAAGCATTAACATATAAAATAAGGTAAGAAATTAAGAACTATTAATTATTAAATGAATTCATGAGTACACAACGAATTAAGACAATGAGACTAGAAGTAAATAACTATGAAAGAGTGTAGAATCTTCTCTCTCATCCATTATAAACTTGAGTACTCATTAGTTAAGTTGGGTTTGGTACCAATCTAGTGGCTTTTTATAACTTTTATTAATCCTTAGTTCACAATCATGCTTAGTTAGTTCTCTGTGGGTTAAGTACTGGTGGGACCCAAACCGAAGTAAAGTTTTTGTTATGCATATCACTTAAGGGGTCACTTATGTACTGATAAGCTTTGTATACTAAACCTTTAAACCTTAACAAAGCGATTTCTATATAGATATGATGGCCACCTAAAGGGGGACATAATAATAAAGTGACAAAAGGTGGACAAGTTAGGTTTATTTCTTTAAATTTTCAATTTATTTATTTAATTTTTTTTAAAATTATTATTATTATTTTTTTTTGGTAAGTGCTAGACAAGTTAGGCAGCTGAGATATATCCTACAATTTAGATATTGGAACACCACCATTCATGCAAGTTGTATGCCTCTCACTCCACCCCCAACAAATAAGTCCAGATTTTTTTTAATATATTTATGTTTTTTGAAATAATATTTTTAATATATTAAATTTGGCTGAAATATGATAATTTTAATGTGTTGAAAATAAATTTAATTATGTTGAAAAACCCTAAATCATTGTACTGTAACAGTGGAGGATCCGGACTCTATGGCTATTATCTATTTACTATTTGTTTTTCTTTTTTTTATGGGACAAATTACTTCACAAAGAAAGAAACAAGATATTTTTCAAATAAAAACTAGACCTTTTTACCTTTCAAAAATAAAATAAAATAAGTATTGTTCGTTAGTTCATGCTGGGCTAGGCCTCAAGATAAAAGGCTCCAAACCACCATATGGGACGAGCTTTGTTGGGCCAAACCTTCCTCTGGTGTTAACGTGGGCCTGTTCCTGTCCATCTCATGTGAAGAATGTCCATAAACACTGCAATTTCTTAACCTATTTACCTTTCAGGTTCAACTTTCTTCTTTGACCACCTCCTATCATTTTATTTTATTGACAAAATCTTTTAGAGTTAGTCTCACATAAAAACATTTTTCGAAAATTAGACCTCAAGTCATTTTTCTGTCACTTTTATTGTTAAAAAGCAGTAAAATGATAATTCTACCCTCATTTTTTAAATCCATTTTCTTTCAAAATATCAACAAATTTAAAAAGCAATATTACCCTCATTAATTCTCTCTCTCTCTCTCTCTCTCTCTCTCTCTCTCTCTCTCTCAACCATTCCCCTGAACCCCTCTCATTATTTTGTTACCGGGTGTTTGAAAGTAGGGCGAATTGCAAATAATCATCATTTATTATTACCCAGTTGCAAAAAATATTGCTTATGAATATTTTTGGCAAAAAATTTCCCTCAACTATCCGAAAGGGGTGTTTTTAACTGGTATTCGTTTAAGTGGTTTTCTGAGGAAATTTTTTGGACAAAATTACCCCTTAACATATTATTCTTCAAATAATTTATAATTTTTTCTCTCTTCTCTCTCCGCGTCAAGTAAGCTTTCTCATTCCTTCAAACACAAAGCTAACAGCAGATTGAGAAATCCAATTGTTAAAGATTCAACACTGCTTGAACAACATGATATAACACATGTAAACAATAGTTGAGGTCCCAAGAATACTCAATTATACACTTAATCTATGACTTTTTTTTTTTTTTTTTTTTTTTTTACTTTTATTATTGGTATTTTTTTTTTATATGATTTCATCCATGTAATTAAACAAATCTTTTGCGTGTAAAAAGTGTTATGTTTCCTTTGGTTTCTTACCATCTTAATAACAAGAATTAAAAATATATATATATCATCTTAATAATAAGACTGAGTAACCTTCCCATAAAGTACCCTTATACTTTGTCAACATGGTATGTAATTTTTGAGTAGTAAGTGGTGGAATATATGATAAGATGATAAATGTATTTCTCTTAAACTAAATGACTTAAAGATTAAGTGCATTGAAGGAGTTTTTGAGTTGCTTAATTTTTCCATCTTTTATTCCAACGCCATGGTGAATTTTCTCTCTCCTATGCGGTTGTACTCAATTTTATTTTTTAATTATACATAGCTTAATTATGATTTTATTGGCTTTCCATTTTTTGTTTTTTTCGAAAAATTTTCTTTTCTGCTTCACATACCTTGCTTGAGAGAAAGAGAAAAGAGAGAAAAATAAATAAAAAAATTGTTTGAAGAATTATATG